TGCAGAGCTGGGGATGCTTAGCCTGGCAAAAAGGAGACTCAGGAGAGACCTTATTGCTCTCTACAACTACCTGGATGGAGTTTGCAGAGAGGTAGAGATCAATCTCTTCTCCCAGATAAACAAGTGACAGGATTAGAAGAAATGAAAGGAAACGAACCCCTCAAGTTGTGCCAGGAGAGCTTTAGATTGGATATTAGGAGAAATTTCTTCATGGAAAGGGTGGTTAGGCATCAGAACAGGGCTGCCCAGGAAAGTGGTGGAATCACCAACCCTGAAAGTGTTAACAAAATGTGCAGATGTGGCACTTGGGGATGTGGTTTAGTGATGAACATGGTAGTGTTAGGTTGATAATAGGACTCAGTCTTGGAGGCCTTTCCGACCTTAACAATGTGTTTTGTGAGACAGGCTGGTTCCCATTTCTGGGTGCCCTTCAGACTGTTTGCAAACACCCCCCAGACTTAATTTCTGCCTCTGGAAGCAGTAGGAGCATCTCTTCTCTGATGTGTGCTGGAGTCAAAATAGCTCAGGGCTCCAAATAACCTGAGGTGGAACATCTACTGCCTGTAATTAGCATACCATGTCCAGGAGCTGGAATGACTTGAGACTCTAGAGAAACCCAAGTGTCCCTAACCCAGGGTATAACAAGGGGAGGAGGTCTGCTGGCAAGAGCATCTTGTACCTCAACAGCAGAGCAGCCAGAACCGTGAGCTGGAGCTGGGAGATGCAGGAGTTGAAATCACTTACAGTATCAAATACCTTGAGCTGTAAGCAGCTGGAGCATTCATGAGTCAGAGCTGTGAGAACCAGGAGCATCTCTAATCCAAAGTATCTGGGGTGTCTATCACCTGGAGGCAGGGTGTCTGTCGCCCAGGAGGCACGTGTGTTGTCCCCTACAGGGAGGACTAACCAGCAAGGAGCCTGGCCTCTTCCCTTGAGAATTAAATACATGTCACATGCTCCTCACCATGCGGAGCGTCTCTCTCAGTCCCGTTCCTGACAGTAGAAGTGAGATGAGGCTGAGTCTGGCTCTTTTGGGCAGCCCTGCTCTGAGGGGCCCACAAGCTGTGGCTGAAGGTGAGGTGGCAGCACAAGGCAGTGGAGCCTCCTCTGTACCTAAGAAAGGAGAGACACCAGTCAGTCAGAGCTTCTGGGAGCATACCCCAGAGACCCTCAGGAAATGCCTGTTCCTCTCCCTATCCAGAAGAGTCACATCTTTCCCAGTCCAGGAGGGGCATTTGCTCAAACCCCTCTGTGAAGCAGGGTGCATTTCATCCCTGCTATGTGCACAGGAGCTGTACCCACAAACATTGGGCTGGCCCCAGCACTACACAGAACTTCTGGCAAAGGGATGCAGCTAGGCCAGACCCCAACAACTCTTGGTTCACCTTTCCTGAACTCCCTTCCAAGCTCCCAGCCCCCTAAACGTGAGGCAGAAACCTGCTGGGGGAGGCTTTGGTCTGGAGGGCTGTGACAGCTCCCCACATGGTGCTGACCCCCACACTGGCACTGTTTGCCCCCACCCATGTTCATACAGTGCCAAGAGAGGCAGCAGGAACAGAACCAACCCATCGAGTGCTTATCATCCACAGTGAGGCTTTACTGGTTATGCTGGGCTTCTCCCACCCTGGCTAGCAGCGAGCATCCCCTTAGCTCTGCTGGGGATGGGGCTGTTTGATCGTCACTTCGGGCACTCACCGAGCATCGCCGGCAGCTCCTGTGTCCCCTGACACTCCTTGGATGACATGGGCACTGGTGTCCCTCCCCCAGGCTTGCGGCTGGCTGCTCCCGGGTCCTTGCTGCCCCTCCACAGCATGGCCTGTGCAAACAAAGCCCCGTGAGGACACAAGGGCAAAGCGGTGTCCAGGCGGATCTGTCTCAGCACCAGCAAGGGAAGCGATCACCGCAACCAGCCCGGCCTCGAGGGAGGCATCACAGGGAAACCACAACGATCCTGGCCCCAGCAAGCTGGCAGAGGCCTGAGGGGAGGTGGAGAAGCACAATGCAGGACCCCTCGAGCAGGAAAGGAAGGTTTAACATTACTGACAGAAACGCCTCAGGATCAGGAAAATATCCCTGTTCCGGCCGTAAGCAGCCGCGGGACGCGGGACTGCTGCCAGCCCAGGGCTGACTCCGAGCGGGAATTGTTGATACCGAGGTGCCTCACCTGGGGTGCTGTGGGCAGGTCCGTGTCCCCTGATATCCCTGGGACATGGGTGCCATCCCAATGGCTCTCAGCCCGAGAATTCCGGCGCTCCTGGAGCAGGACAGATGAGGAAGTGCGGAGTCCTGGCACACGGCGCTGGAGCAGCCTGCAGGGATCTCATGGGAGAAAGGGGATCCCTGCTGAAAAACCAAGCTTGTCACGCCTTCTTGTGCGCACCGGGAGGGTGGAACACCGGGAGCAAGTGGCCAACCTGCTCAGGGATACGGGCGAGTGCAGCTTCGGCTTTGTACGACTTTGCGATGCAGATCACCTGCGACAGGCGGCTTCTCCTTCCTGCCCGCTGCTGGCAGCATTTGGCAAGGGTCCTGCTGGTAGTACCTCAAATAATGCATGCAGGTGTGCCTACAGGTAAGTGATCTTAAGTACATACTTGCTTTAGTAGCGGTCATTTGTAGCTACTTCTAATAAATTCGCAGAAACAAAATCTCTGTGTCCTTGCGTCTGCTTAGCAGCCTCCTGGTTGCCTCTGGCTCCCTATGGAGGTTCATGGCTTTGGTCCCTGCTCCTAATGGACCAACCCCTGCATGCACTGGAGGAGAAAGAGACCTGGCGAGGAGACTCTGTGATCAAGGATGGGCGTAGAAGGGTGCCAAGCAGGAATGACTGTCGGGGAAGCCCAAAACAACCATCACTGTGGGAGGAGGGATGGGGGCAGGGGGCCCGCAGGAGCCCCGTGCTGGGGGCACAGGGCTCACTTGTCCCTGGAACGAGGGGACCTCAGCACTCCTGGCTGTGTGGCTTTGAAGCCCTTGATCTTGGGAGGTTTCAGTACAGCCATGAGCTCCTGCAGCAGGGCTGTTGCTGAACTGGCCACCTCAAACCAGGCTGTCTGCTGGGGCCCAGCCCTAGCCCCCAGCCCTGCTCTGTGGCTGGCAGGATGCACGTGGCAGGGATTTAGGACCGGCAGCCAGGAGGGAGCAGAGGTGACCCAGCATGCCTGTGGCAACCCATGACACCTGTCCCCACCGCAGGCACACTGCCATCTCCCAGCTCTCGGTACAGCCGCTCTGTCCTGCTTCTCTGTGCACGTGTTTATGTGTGTCAACACACACGGACACGCAGTCAGCAGCCGCACAGCCTCGCCCCTTCACACCGGGGGCGGCTGCAGCAGGAGCTGTGATGGTGAAAACAGGCGAGTGGTAAAGGTATTTTTGAATAAATCCCCGTCCTGACCTGCAGGTGCCAGCACAGACGCACAGACATTGTTAGAGTCAGAGGCACAAAGTGTGTGCCCTTATCTCTGGTACCTGGCTCTGACATCCAAGAAAAGACTCAATTTCATATAACACCGTGAAAACAACTGTTAAAGTTAAATACAAAAACTAAGAGTGCGTAAATTAGAGAATTTCTTAAGTCACTGGGTGAAAAAGTTAAAGTTTGGAGTTTAAACTAGTTTAGAGAACAGAAGACAAGATGTAAGATTTAAGGTGTCTTTTCCTTCTTCTTTCTTCTTCATCTTCTTCTTCTAGAGGTTTTTGGGTAGTAGTAGGTGATTAGATAAAAAATGCCACAGTGCAGCACACAGGTGTTGGGTCATCAGGTCACTAAGAAAAACAATTTACTTGACATTTGTTAATTGAGTAAATAGACATATAAAAGACCTTGAAGAAGATCTTTGTTAGCCATTTTGCGCCTTTCTATCTTAGTGCACATAACTCCTTGTACCTTGTATACATGTAATGCTGATAAGAGAAGAATAAACAACCAAGTCCGAACAAGAGAAAACTGCCTCTCTCTCATCAGTCTCAGTCCAATGAAGAAAAGAACCCAACCACAAGTGTCCCATTAAGACAGACATGACAAGCCCCCTGCAGCCTGCTCTGGACAAAACCCCACCTTTTTCTGTTCAAAGCAATAAACCTTAAACCGATCTGAGCCAGAGCAACTCTAGTCCCAGACTTGCCTCTTTGTTGCCATGGCAGGATAAAGCCTTACACCCCCACATCCCAGCTCTTCCACCACAGCATATTACACCCAACACCCACAAGCTGCAGGGGTTGGAGCTATAGAGAAGCCGCTCCCATCTGACGGTCTCTTGACGATGTTTATGTGGGGAAAGCAGAATGACTAGGAATCCCACAGCATCACCATCATTCCCCACTTGTGTCTTGGTGCTGGGGACAGCCCAGACATCAATGGGGATGGGTTCAGTGCTCTTGGGCCTCTCTGAGCAGTGGGCAATGCTGTCACCAGCTCTGCACATTGGTGACGTCCACAGAGAAGTTGTTCCCATAACAGATTTGGCTTTTTTTTTTAATCCTCTCCTCACTGAATTTTGACCTCATTCCAGTGTGGGTGTGCAAGAGAAAGCTTCCTTTGCCTGACAACCTCATCATGCCTCTGGCCACACAGCCTAGGAGAGTGGAGTACTGATTCTGATGAGGCAGAAAGACAGAGAGATGTAAATAACAACACACAGGCAGGAAGACAGGCAGTGCTTTTATTGCTGGCTTTACTCTGGGAAGAAGGGATAGAGCACAGCAAAGGCAAACTCCTCATGGTGCATGTCCCAACATCCAGTGTCACTGTTGGACACGAGATGAGTCACATGGACGCAGCTCGAGGTGTGGTGAAAGAAGAAGAAACGTTTATTTGTTCTTTCAGTATTTATAGGTTTTCGACCACGACCAGGGGTTGGATAGTCAGGTTAACACCTTCCCAACTGCACTGGCCGTGAGAGACGTCCATCAAAAGGCCTATCTTTAATGGAATGTATAAACACCTATGTTTATAGTTAGTTCCCTGGGAAAGTGGCTAGAACTTGTGAAAACAATATTGAAAGGCCTGATTCTCAGGGTGACAATCCAGGGCAGCAGCAGCTCCTGTCTGCAGTGGCTCCACAGGGTGCACTGAAGATGGCAGCATCTACAACAGGACAGGAGAGCAGGGTCACCCTCTCCTCAGCCATTACTGCTCTGGCACTGCAGCAACCCTGTGTCTGGAGTCAGTTGTCAGAGGAAAGGGAGACCCTGGGAATCCACTGTGTGCTGTGCAGCAGTCAGACAAAGCAGCTCAGCACCCACAGCTTACCAGAAAATGCCCATCTCCCTTCTCTGTTTGATGTCTCTCTTCAGCTGGCAGAGCGCACAGGGGCTGCACCACCACATGGAGCAAAAGTCTCCCAGGATGGAGCCCTGTGGAGCAAGGGATATTGCATGAATAACCCCTTCCCACACCGAACATTAAGCCTTTCAGCCTATTTTATATAGAAAATAAATGGCCCTGCAGCACCCTGCTGCTCATATCCAGCAAGGACTGGGATGAAGTGATGTGTGCTGGGATTACCTCCAGCTCACAGTGGTGAGGCAGATGTGTCCCTGAGTCCTGGCCTGCTGGGATGCCCACGCAACTCCCTGCCTCTGCCCTTCCCCTTGGGCACCCCTTTCTCCTTCCCTGAGCCCCCAGCACCCATGCCACAGCTGTTGCTGCTGTTGGGACAGGCCACAAGCTGCTCACTGACCGGGATGTTGTATCTGGTGCGGTACAGGGTCCTCATGGCCACGCTGGAGCCACACAGGCAGCACTCGTCCATGTCCCCGGCCACTTGGCAGCTCAAGCAGAAGAAGCAGAACGTCCCACAAAGACCTGTGGGACAGTGAGATGTGGGCTTGGCTGAGGGGTGGCAAGACAGATGAAAAGGGGAAAAGCCAGCTGGGAGCTGTGGCTCTTGACATCAGGAAAGAGCCACTCTGCCTCCAGTACCCATGGGAGTGGGTTTTGCATCAGGGATAATGCTGCAGGAGGAGCAGAGTAAAGCATCAGGAATGCATCATGAGCATTGTCAGGAATGAGGGGTAGGTATGTACTCACACACGCCGCAGTCGGAGCAGCAGTCCAGCAGCCCTGTCTGCCACTGCCCTGGCTGTCGGGCAACTGAGAACTGGGGTTGGACCGTAAACACAGCTTGGGAGGCCATTGCCAGCACGGGGTCAGGTCCCTCCAGGTAGTTTGTGGTCTGGAAGGAAAAGCCATCAGAGGAACATGCTGCAGGTGTTTCTGAAGTGGGCATCTTGCTCAGGCAATTGCATTCAAAGAAAGAATTTCTCTCTGCCACTTCCAGAGTAATGTCACCCTCACCATAAAGTGGGGGGCACAGTTCTGCCAGAAGCTGCTGCTACCCACTGAAGCAAAGCCCTCCCCAAAACCAGTCTCCCACCAAAGGCAGTAGCACATCATCCCTTGCCTATGCAAGTAAAATGTGTCTGTGAAAACAGAGGTCCTTCTGCTTCAGAACTGCAGTACTTCAACACCTCAGACCTGTCTTCTCATCTCCAGGTCATCTTTCATTGTTGTCTGTGTAAAATGAGTAAAATTATCTGTGTAAAATTGTCTGCATTACGGACTGGCTTTTGATTTTGTTTTTGTTTGTTTATGATCACAGTCTCCTTAAGTTACTACTGCTCAGTTCTAGCCTCCCCAAGCTCTCAGGAGTCACCTTAGTCTTTGCTTTGTTCTATGAGGATCTCAGCCTATTTGCTTCCCCCTCTCCCTTCTTCACTTGCCTTCTTAGTGTGCTTCAAGGCAGTGGGTTTTCCTTGTCTCTTTCCATCACCCTAAGCCCTGTCACCCGTTCCTATCCCTCCTCCACTTGACTTATCTGTGTCAGCACCTCACCCTCCTCTTCCTCAGTCCCCTGGGATCACCATGGCCTGCAGAATTCCTCTCCATCCCATCATTCCTCAGCAAGGGGCTGCATCCTCTGAGAGTAGGAAATCTCCTGCTCCACAGCACCATCCCCAAAATCACCTGACCAAAGTAACACCTGCACCTCCATCACTCCCTGCCAGCTCTGCAAGACACAGCACCAGCTTCTGCCACTCTCACTTTCGTTTTTGGAGCTTTAATTAAAACAAAAAAAATAGAGGATGCTCCCACAGGAGAAGTCCCATGCAGACACACTCCCTGCCCTGTGCCCAAGTTCTGCACCACTTTGTTAAGCACTCCAAGGAGGATCGTTTTCACACCAGAATTGCATATTTACACAAAGTTGAGTATTACACAACACAAGAAATAAGGTGGAACAATTACTGTGCCCAGCACTCAGATGCCATTGAGCTCATTACCCACATCAGAGCAGCACCAGCTGTGGCATTGCATTTGTACTGACTAATGCCAAGAGGTGACAAAGGGGTGATGGCTCTGCTGGCAGCCCCTGTGATTCCCCAGGATTTACAGATACATCCCAGTTGTCAGACACTGTTGCTGTAGGGCCAGCCCTTGTTCCTGGCAATCTCAGGAAGAGGAAATATATTGTTGAATTATGGCGTTAGAGGGAAGAAAGCTGATAAAAATCTCCACATGGTTTGCTCCTGACTTTTTGCAGCTTTCTGCAGGCAGTGGAAGCATGGCTGGGCTGTCCCTCTCTGAGACACCTGTGAGTGCAGCAGGGGACATTGCACCCATAGTCCCTCTCCGGACACCTCCTAGCCCTGCCTTGGCCAGCTGTTCCTGTTTGTTCATCACGAGATCCCAGGTAATTCCCACCACTTCTGCAGCCAGTGTAACACCTCCTGGCATGCCAAAACAGCAGCCCCTTCGGGAAGCCTTGGCACATGACGATTTAAGAAGCAAGAGCCAGGAGGGGCAGGGGAGGAGACAGACCATGGGCAGGCTATGCAGCGGTAAGCCCAGCACGGGGCTCCCATGCAGTGACAGGGATGTCCAGCAGCAGGCAGGACCGCAGGGAGAAGTGTGCACAGGAGCAGCAGCAGCAGCAAGAGAAGTTTTAGGGGCAGGATCCCTCCAGTCAGGGAGTTCCCTTCCCCAGGTACGAGCAGCCCACATCCCTACATGGTTGGAGGCTGTAGTGCGGAGCAGGCAGCAGCCTGGAAAAGCCTCCACCACACACTCGCCTCCCAAGAGATGGCCTAGGCCCAGCACACCAAAAGTATCACAATTCTACAATTCACAGCCCCATGGCATCACCAACCATGCTGGAATGACTGATGGGGACAAAAGGATCCTGAGCTGCATGCAGCCACATTTCACCTACAGCACAGCTCAAAAAGCAGCATCTATAGGCCCATGCATATGTGCACAAATAAGCAACACAGTGCAAAAGCTGCTGTCCTCCACCTCTGTTACCCACATCTGTCCAGACGCCATCAGCAGCACACATTAAGCTGTGGTTAACCCTGGTGCATTTTTCCAGGTGGAAAACCTCACCTTTTTTTCTAGCCCTTCCCATTCCCCAGCATCACCGCTTCAGTCACGAACAGTTTCCATACCACAACCAAAGCAAAGCCATGCCATACGTACTTTCCAAGCTGTCCTTGTCCCCGCAGATACGTGTCCTTTTCCTGGTTCTCATGCTTTATATGTGCTCTGGCAAACGACCTTTGCTCCCTCTGACTAACAGTGCAAATGCCAGCTTAGGTGCAGCTTTGCACAATGGCAGCTTCCCTGCTGCCCGCCCTCACCTTTACCCCCACCCTGGGCGTTCTCCAGGCCCAGAGTCCCAGTGGGAGAGGTTTCCAGAGAAGGGCAGTTTGTTTCCAGGCTCCTGTGCTGCCCAAGCCATGTGCTGTTGGAGGTGCAGCATGTTTCCTTTGTCAAACCTGAGCATCCGCAAGAACTGACTGTAACTGCACTGGGTGACACGGGGGTGGCCTCTCTCAGGCTAAAAATGCATTTCTCTACATTGCCAGGGATCATCCATAGGACCGTCTGGGGTTTAAACAGTTGGGAGTGCCATCACACCCAGCCACCCTGCAGCACAGACAGAGCCATTACCTGCCCTTCAAAAGTTTTGTGGTGAAGATGAAGGCAGAGTGGGGACAAAAAGCAATCATATGGTCCTTAAAGAATGAAGCAGGGAGATATTTGTAGGGATCAAGAGTCCTTTAGCACTCTTGAGAGTGATGGAGAGAGGGTGGATGCAACCTCCACCTTCTGGGTGGGAATGCAGGGCTCACAGCCCAGTGCTGTGTAATGCCATGAAGGAAGATGGCACTGTTTGTCCCTGGAGAGGACACAGATAACCCATGAATAATCCAGGTTTTTTTACTGCAGATGGGGAGGAATTTATGCTCAGGGTCCATGTCCCTGCAACATTGAGGTGAGCTGGTGCCAGGCAGCCCCAAATCCCCATTTCTTTAGAAAGGCATTCAGAAAGGTGGCACTGACCAACAGCCCTGGACAGCCACCTGGGCCACCACAGCAGTAGTCGTTTTCCCAAATTTTGCAACTTGGATGAACAACACTGACTCATTCAATGCGTTAAATATCCTTTCTAAAAGCTGATCCAATAACAAAAAATCTCTCTCTGCAGAAGACACATCTTGCTGATAGATGAATGGAACAGGAGAAGGATGGGTGCTCTCAGATGGTGCAAGAATGACATACACAGAGGTAGGAAGATAAACTCAAAACTTTATTTATGCAGTTTATTAGGGAAAATCAAATGCAATCAAGGCAAGCCCCACATGGTGCATTTCCCAACAGTCAAGGCAGCAGTGACTCCTGTCTGCAGCATCTCCAAGGACGCAGCAAGGATGGCAGCATCTGTAACAGGATGGGAGAGGACTGTCAGGGTCTGGGGCTGTGCCTCACCATGCTCTGTGTCCCCCCAGTCCTTCCCCCTCCACCCTGCACAAGGTCCCAGAGACATTTTGCTTCAGGACAGGTCACTCTTATGACCTGTCCATGGCCATTTCCCCTCTGCAGCAAACTTTGTCTGGTGTCAAGATGCTGGCAGGAGAGGCTCTGGGAAGCCACCTGGCTGCATGTGACAGAACTTTATGGACCAGCACCAGCACCCCCAGCTTACCAGAATATGCCAAGCTCCCTCCTGCGTTTGATGTCTCTCTTCATTTGGCAAACAGAGCACACAGGGCAACACAGGGTGACACAGAAGTCAGAGCAAATGGACCCCTGTTAGGAAGAAACTGGTTAGGGACAGAGGCTTCCCAGAAGTCATGTTCCAGCCAAGAAAATGTTAATCACATTCCAGGCCAAGTACTCTTTTATCAGCAGGCTGCAGCATCCTGAGTGGAAAAAACAGAAGCCTTGGGCTGGCAAACCCCAAGCACCACAGAAAGGAAGAAGAGAGCCTCTTGTGCAGTCTGCAGATAGCTTTTGACTTTTGTGTTTCAGACTGGGAAGAAAAATGCACACAGGAACAGACAATTTGGGCAAAGTGAACTTGGGCCCCCATGGGTTGCACTTGTGATGGCAGCAACCACCTCTCCTGCAGGAAGAAACACCCTCATGTACGTACTGTCCACCTTTCTCCCAAACCTGATTATGGATCTTTATCCATGTAACCAGCTTCACCTATTCTTTAGTCAGCCCACAGTTATCTCGAGTCTTTCCCATCTTTCAAAGCTCAAAGGAGGAAGCAGCAGCAGGGATGGATACAAATGGGAAAAAAGGGGGGAGTGGAAAAAAGTGAGAGGGGCCTTGGGGGCACCCCATCTTTCAGGCTCGCAGCAGGGGGGCAGGCTCAGCACTGACCGGGATGTTGTATCTGGTGCGGTACAGGGTCCTCATGGCCACGCTGGTCCCACACAGGCAGCACTCGTTCATGTCCCCGGCCACTTGGCATGCCAGGCAGGGGAAGCAGAACATCCCGCAGCAGCCTGGAGAGAGGAGAAACACAGCACTGGTTAAGGCTCTGCCTGCCCACCTGGAAGCACTGGAGTAGATGGGAGAGCCAGGCTGCATGGCTGCACAGTAGCACCACTGGACTGAGCAGCAGGAGCAAGAAAACCGTGTCCCAGGCACTTACAGACGCCACAGTCGGAGCAGCAGTCCGTCAGGCCTGTCTGCCACGTGCATCTCAAGACAGTGGACGTGGCCCCGGGTCCGTACTGCGGCTGGATCGTCACAACGGTTGGGACAGCCATTCCAAGGTCCTCTTCTGAAAGAGGAAACAGGGTAGTAAGTGCAAAAACTGTGATCGGTCTGAACCTCCAACCAAACCTGTGGCTACCACCCTTCAGCAGGACACCTTCTGCCCAGTTCCCTATCTGGCATTGGAGGTGATAGAGCATAACCATATCTTGCCTGCATTTCTATCCTTTCAAGGTTTTTGCATTATCTACCATTTTATCCAGCCTTCAAAATAGCATCAGGTCACTGATGTTCCCCACTCCACCCCATAAAGGCTTTGCTAGTGCTTAGACACAGCTCATTCCCCTTGTATTGATCTGAACCCAGACTAAAGGGAGTGACTTGGGCATTCAGGTTGTTTGACTTGGCATATTTTACACAAAGATGCCTTTGGAGTGGGCACGGAGCATGTGGGAAGCACCTGCGGACTCATTTCCTCATAGCAAAGCGAGGCTACACACAAGCAGGATACTATAGAAAACTTGTATCTCTGGTTTCTTGACGTAGGGAGCCAGAAAGGCAGAAAATCAATGTCCAATGTCTGATGCCCTCTCCTTGCCTTCCTGTGGTTAACAAGCAAAAAAACCTTGAAAACCAGTAAGCCTCAGGTCTAAAATAATAATAATAATAACAAGAAGAAGAAGAAGAATAGTAAGAATAGTAAGAATAGTAAGAATACCAACGAGAACAATTTCTCTCTGCTTCTAATCCCCTAGCCAAGTAAAAAAGCACAAAGTAGTTCAGGTAATAATTCTAAGAAAGTTTGGGTTGGGTGAGGTTCTCTGAGATAAGATTAATTGCCTGCTCACATTTATTGAGACTATTTTTCTGTAAGTTGGGTTGGTTTATTTTATTTCTTAGAAACAGCAGTTCGACAAAGGGAGACCCACCCTTCTGTGTGGTCAGGCTCCTCCTCCTCCTGCTGCTGCTGTTTCTGAGCTTAGAAACCAGAATAGAAACTCAAATGAAGGAGTGATGCTGGGGGAGGGGGAGCACCTTCTTTTTCCATCCTTTGGAGTAATGAGTGCTTCTCCAGAAATCCCGCTCCTGGCTTCAGCTGGCAGCACATGCCAGCCTGCAAGCCCGGTGGGAATGCAGCTGGAGGTGGTATCAGGTGTGTGTCCAGAGGGAAGTGCAACGCCTCTGCCTACCCACAGCTTCCCTCTACCTGCCCACAGCTTCCCTCTGCCTGCCCACTGCAGTGCCACCGACATGTGGTGGATCTCTCTACACTTCACAAAGGTACAGTGTCCTCTACACAAGTATTACTCACCTATTTTCTCCTCCCCTAACTGCAAACAATAAAGAAGAGTAGAATATCTGCACTTGCCATTGACAGCACACCCCAAAGGGACAGCAAACACACAGGGAGACCAGGTATCAGAAGCCACCCATATCCAAGCTTCTGGTAGGGCAGCCCAGTTTAAAGAGAGAGTAAAGTACCAGTCAGATTCCTTCAACACATTTATACAATTGTGTCAGCATCAGAAAGCAGCAAGCAGAGGTAAACTCTCCATAATCCAGCTTTTGTGCATAGCTTTTTTAAAGCTCCTCCCCCCCCAATTCCCCACTTAGGATTTGCCAGATAGTTTGATTTGTATTTTGTACTAAGTAGGAAAAAAAATAAAAATAAATCCCTACTTTGACTCTATTATCCCACTCTTCCCAGGCTAACAAATTATTAATATTTCCATGCTTTTAGAGAGCTAACCTGGTGAGCAGACTTGGTCAGTGGAGGCTTCCTCTCCAGCCGGGATCCTGCACAAAGAGGCTCTGGCAAAGATGAAACTAAACTTACTCCCTCAGATGTTCTTATTGGTAGCCAGCAGCAAAAAACGTAAAATGGGTGGGAGGTAACTTGAAGGGGGAAGTCAGGAACTGTGCCCTGTCCTTACAACCACAGACTTAACAATGCAGAACAGTAATCTATTTTTCCTTTTCCCAGGACTAGTTATTTTTTTTAAAAAAATATGTTAGCATGTTTATTGTGTTATTCCCCTTACTTTTCCCACATGTAGTTGCTGTTCAGGGGAGAGTAGCTCTGAATGATTTACTTTCATCAAGACAGACATTTAGGTTATAATTTCTTAGAAAATATACCCCACATGGAGATTTTCCATAAAAATTAGGCTGATTCCCTAAGTGCTTGTCACAAGCCATGTAGCCCAGCCACTGTAAAATTAACAGAGCACTTACCACACACACATACATTTCCCTTTATGAGATGCTAATATTTAAAGTTTCTGCACTAACCCCAATTATGTAACCACTCATATCCTGTCAAGTCATGACAGTTTTGGATCCACTTCCACATTTTGTGGAGAACCTGTGGCACCAGGACAGCGCTTTTTGTTTCCCAGCAGGATACACATAATATGCAGAGATCTCAGAGAGGATCTGGGTTGCTGCTTTCTCAGGAGCAAGTCAAGTTCAACGCATC